CCATATCGTGACGAGAACATTTGATAAGTATATTAAAAGTGAATAAAGTTAGAAATTAAAAACCTGTTGACGAAGAACAGTAAAACTTCTAGTGTATCACAGATATCCATTTACAACTAGCAACTAAATCTAAAACATTGGAACTAGAAATGACAATACAATATAAAAACAGGCTGTTGATTGCTAACGACTGAAAGTAGATCACCATACTAGGGACCATGGGGACTTACAGTACATTTGCTTCCTGCATGGACACTAGCTGGGTTTACACCATCCCTTCAGCCGTCAGCAAGTTTAGACAATTTAGCTAGAAGTTAAAATAGCACATATTCTACGCTTAAAACTAGTGGTATGTTTAAATTTAGTTTGAATGTTTTGGGACTTACGTACCCCCACAGGAGGACAATAATTTTACAATGCTTCAACCCCCTGTGAGGATACAGCCACTAACAATCTCAACTGCTCAACTAAACCACCAATTTTAAAATATGTATCTATTTACAATTCATTCAACAAATCTAATTCTTTTAAAAATGCAATGACTAAATGAGAACTGATATTTTTAAAAAGATCCTTCATCGTTCGTGATTTGAAATAGTTATCCCTTGTGATGGAATATTCAATACAGTCAGGCAGGACATGCTTGACCGTGATTCTTTCATCACAAGGGATACAAAACGGAGGATCCTCGCCCTTCAATAGGTACTCATGAGTGTATCTGGTGTGGCCAATACAACATCGTCGCATGGTGACCTCTTCAAATCTGGACTGACATCCCAAGTAGGTGTAACTGATATAAGGTTTGATTGCATGTAATTTATTGATACCTACTTGGCTGTCCCACTTCTTTTGCATCAGATCACAGATATAAGATCTCATAGCAGCTTTGTAATCAGAGTATGGGAGAAGAAGTGGTGTCACAGATTTGTTGAGTGCTGCCTTGGCAGCAAGATCGGCCATTGTGTTCCCAGAAATGCCAACGTGGCTGGGTAACCAACAGAAGACGATGTCGCATTGGCCAGTAGCAAGATCATTATATAATTCGATTATTTCAATTAAAAGTGGATGCTTACAAGATAGATTTTTAATAGCCTGAAGGCAAGAAAGAGAGTCAGAAAAGATTATATATTGTTTATGTTTAGGGTGTCTTTGAATATATTTAAGAGCTGTTAAGATGGCGTTTGTTTCTGCTGTAAATATAAAGCTGTTATCAGGTATTCTAGAAGATATTGTTCTGGATCCAATGACAGTGGCACAGGCCACCGCGCCACCATCCTTGGACCCATCTGTAAATAAGGATTTATATGTATTATATTTACTTTTTAATTGATTATACTCTTGTTTATATTGTAATTCATTAGTTTCAGATTTTTTAAACTTAGTCAGAGTTAGGTCAACTTGTGGCCTAACCAATTGCCAAGGAGGAGAAGAAAGAAGACGAGAAGGAGCTATATTTCCCAGCTCAATGCCGGCAGCAGTAATGAATGGCTTCATTCTGAGCCCCAGTGGAGGAACAAGAGAAGATTTTTGGTTGTACATATCCTCATAAAGAGGATTAAAGATACACTGAAATGCAGGATTGGATTCGTTAGAAATATAGTTTTGTAAGATATTGTAAAGATAATTTTATACGTCGTTGGGCTAGAGAAGGCTCGTCTGCTTCGAAATAGAGACTGTCCACAGGAGAAGTTCTAAAAGATCCAAGATAAAGCCTTAGACCTTGGTGGTGGACAGAATCAAGTAGTTTTAGATTGCTTTTGCGGGCTCCACCATATACGATGGAGCCATAATCAAGTTTCGAGCGGATCAATGATCGATATAGGTGGAGGAGGGTAGTTTGATCCCTTCCCCACTTTGTGTTAGAAACTACTTTCAACAAGTCAAGTGCCTTCAGGCATTTAGTTTTAAGGGATTTAATATGTGGCAGAAATGTTAAGTGCGAGTCAAAAATTAAACCCAAGAACTTGGCCTCCTTAACAACTTTGATGGGTGTGCCATTTAGAGATAGTTCAGGGTCTTTATGCAGTTTGTATTTACGGCAGAAATGTATACAATTTGTTTTGGATTTAGAAAATTTAAAGCCGTTTTCCTGACACCATTTATTTATTTTGTTTAAACACAACTACAGTTGTCGTTCAATAGTATGCATATTTTTACCACGACAAGAAATATTTAAATCATCCACAAAAAGTGATCCATCGATCGAATCATTTAAAACCTTGGATAAACTGTTGATCTTGATACTAAACAATGTGACAGACAAAATGCTGCCCTGTGGGACACCCTGATCCTGATTGTAATGATCAGACAGGGTAGATCCCACTCGGACTTGAAATTGTCTGTCTTTTAAAAAGTTAGCTATAAATTGAGGCAAACGGCCTCGCAATCCGAAGCCATGTAAATCTTTTAAAATGCCATATTTCCACGTGGTGTCATATGCTTTTTCAAGATCAAAAAAGATAGACACAGCGTGTTGCTTGTTAATAAGAGCATTTTAACAAATGATTCCAAACGCATTAGGTGATCGACAGTACTTTTGTTTTTACGGAAACCACATTGTATATCTGTTATAAGGTTATTTGTTTCCAAGTACCAAACAAGTCGATTATTTATCATCCGTTCCATGGTCTTGCAAACGCAGCTAGTTAGGGAAATTGGCCTATAATTGGAAGGATCAGTCTGATCACGTCCAGGTTTAGGGATGGGCACAATTATAGCATCGCGCCACGATGAAGGAAATTTTCCAGATGTCCAAATATCATCAAAAATAGATAAGAGCGTCTCTAAACATGAGTCTGGTAAGTGCTTCAGGAGTTGATAATGTACGTTATCAGCTCCGGAAGCAGTATCATGAGCCTGGTCAAGAGCAGTATGAAGCTCGTGAATGGAAAAGGTTTCATTGTAATCTTCCCCATTATCTGAATTGAAATTAATAGCTTTCTTTTCTTGCTGTTTTTGATATTTTTGGAATTCAGGTACATAGTTACACGAGGAAGAATGTTTGGCCAATGTCTCACCAAGTTTATTTGCAATATCTGATTTATTACTCAATAATTGGTTCCCATCTGTCAAATGGTGAATGCTATATTTAGAGCCCTTACCTTTGATTTTCTGGATCGTATTCCACACCTTTGATATTGGCGTGCGCGAATTTATTTTCGATACATAGTTTCGCCAAGAGTGACGTTTACTTTGCTTAAAAGTACGCCCTGCTTTAGCATTTAAAATCTTAAAATCTTATACGTGTTCAAATTATGAACCATAGGATGGCGACGGAAGTAATGTTCTGCTTTTTTCCTTGCCTTCCTAGCTTGTTTGCAGTCATCGTTGAACCATGGTTTTCTAATGTGTGGAATTGCAGAGGACTTAGGGATGCACACATCCGCTATGTTATTCAGTTTATCAGAGAAACTCTTTATAGCATCATTAACATCAATGAAAAGTTCAGGTTTAAGTTCGTCAGCACACAGAGTTGCATATAAAGGCCAGTTAGCCTTTTTGAAATTCCATCTGGATGATGGAGGAACATCAGATGGGGCTACTGGTTTTAGAACTGTAGGAAAGTGGTCGCTTCCACAAAGGTCGTCATGGACGGACCAATCAAATTCATTTAGGAGATTTGAGTCAGTGATGGACAAGTCAAGATTAGAATAGGTACCAGTACCAGGGTGGAGATAAGTGTGTAAGCCATCGTTATAAATGCATAAATCATTGTTTGAAATGAAATCTTCAAGTAGCTTTCTTTTATTGCTTGTATGCATACTGCCCCAGAGTGGGTTATGACCATTGAGATCGCCCATAATGATGCAGGGCTTGGGAAGCTGGTCGTAAAGTGCTTGAAGATCAGTTAGTTGAAGCAACGATGTTGGAGGAATGTAAAGAGAGCACAAAGTAAAAACAATGTGCATAGTTATTCGAACTGCAACAGCCTGAAGATTTGTATTAATTAAAACAGGGCTGTGGAGAACGCCCAGCTTTACGAAAACAGAAGATCCACCCGTAGCTTTAGTCCCTGGAGGGGAGAATGAATGGTAGGTACTGTACTGACGATAATCAAAGTTATCAGTTTCTTTAAGGTATGTCTCCTGGAGACATATTGCTGACGGCTTATAATCCTGTATTAATAAGTGTAAATCATTTTAATTGGACCTGAGACATCTGCAATTCCACTGAAGGAGTGAACTAGGACCATTCATGTAATAGGTGGATGTACAGGGGATCTATTTTTCCCTTTTCTAGGTGACTTACTTCTGTTGCGCCCGTGGTAGAGAGGAGAGGCATCCATGTCCTCCAAGGTGTGATAACGATTTTGAAGACGTACAGAGTCACGCTGACCCTTTGGTATACGATCTGAATGAATAGAATGATCAATTTGTTTTTAGTCGATTTCGGAACAGGGGATGGTTTTGGTACCGATTTTGGTTCCACTGCTGGAACCACTGGCGACGGTGAGACAACTGTAGATAGATCTTCCGTTTGTGACGAAGAACTAGATGATTGTTGACGAGGTTTAGCCAAGATTGGATTAGATGATTCAATCCATGTATATTCGGTTTGGCAACCTACTGACTGACGTGAAACCGGTCGAAAAATTGTAGTTGAGGCAGAAGCAGCAGCCGCATAAGTTGGGCCTGGTTTTTCAAGAGCCAGAACAAGTTTCCTCGCTTCAAAAAAAGTAACATTACGGTCATGTTTCATTTTTGACTGGAGCTCCCATGTTGGTTGCCACCACATCGATGACAAGCAGCTGGGCCGCGGCATGAATTAGAACCATGGCCATATTTCTGACATCGGTAGCACCGCAGGGGATTTGGGACGTAAGCATCAACCCTTAAGTGACAATATCCAGCTTTCAATGATTCTGGGCGTGACGGAAGACCTAATGTAAATAGATACGTATTGGTCTTTATGGTTTCATTATCTCTTTTGGAAGTTAACCGTTTAACAGCAGTCACTCCCAGTGGACATAATTCTGAAATGATGTCAGCCTCATCCATATCTGAAAGGCAACGTCCAACATCATGGACAATGCCTTTAGTACTGTTGAGTGTCCTATGAGGTGAAACCTCCACAGGAACATTAGCTAATGATTTGGTCGAAAGGAGGATTTGTGATTGAATTTTCTTTTTGCACTCAATCAGTAGAGATCCCGAACGTAGCTTCTTAACTTCTTTTACCTCGACAGCTAATCCTTCTATGCCCTTTGCAATGGCAAAAGGATTCAATTTAAGTGGACCATCATCTGGTGCCGACATGACCAAAAATCGAGACCAATGATCAGGATTTGTGAGAACAGTAGGATGTTCGTCCTGAGAAGATACTGAATCATCAGATTCATACGAGCGTTTTTTCAGTGGGGGTGCCATGGTTGTATTGCGTATGATTCACCCTCCTAGCTCCTCACCCACCATGGAGTGTCAACAAGGACGATGCCTCATGTCTGTGGGCCTCCAGCAGAGGGCACCAAGGATACTAGGAGGGTATACTCAAGCAGGATAAGATCTTAAAAAGATAGATCCTACCAGATTGGCCCATGAGCCATCGCCTTCTTGGCATTTAGACTCTAGGCAAATTGAAAAGTCATAGTTCAAAATCAAGTGATGTTTTATAAACTAATAAAGCCGAGACCTAAAGTTCACCATATAGTTTAAGAATATAATTTGTGCAAATACAAGTAATGCACAGGGCTCGACATTCAACCACCCGTCTAGGTGAAGTTAGGGGCGAAGTGGTGTGTTGGGCAAAGGAACACTGTTCCTGGGACCAGTGCCCTCAACCACCAGCCTCCCGTCCTCCACCGACACAGGGGCGCAACCCACAGCAAACAGATTGGTGGACCAAATATTCCCCCGGGTCCACAACGGGGGGTTGAAGGGCGCTTAGCGATACCCAGCACCCACCACGAGGAAGTGGCCCTTTATGGGTGCCCGATAAAAAGGAAGGTCCTTGAAACCAGGCAGGTGCATAATCCAGAAGGTCTTTCATATCCATTCCTCTAGAAGCTGGATCTGCAGGATTCTCTGTGGTAGATACATAATTCCAATGCTCTATGTCAGCCGTCTCGGATTACAGCAATCCTATTTGCTACAAAGGTCTTGAAGCGTGTGTTTTCATTGGCCAGGTATCGGAGAACTGTCATGCTGTCTGTCCAATAGATCACCTGATCTATTTTGTGCTGGACCTGTTTCTGTATCATCAGAGAGAGACGAACAGCAACACATGCTGCAGTTAGTTCTAGTCTTGGAATCGAGATCTTCTTCAGTGGTGTAACCCTAGCTTTAGACAAAACGAAAGCACAGTGGATTTTCATTTACAAGTCTGAAGTATGCAACAACACCATATCCAAGTTCACTGGCGTCTGCAAACACATGAAGTTGACAATCCTGTACTGTTCCAAAGTCATCTGACTTGTAACATCTTAGAATACATAGATTCTCCAATCGAGGAAGATTCGTTAACCACTGTTGCCATGACTTGAGTTGAGTTGCTGTGATCTCTTCATCCCACCAGATACCACAACGACATATTTCCTGGAGTAGAATCTTTGCTTTAAGAATAAATGGAGATCCAAGTCCCAGCGGATCATATACAGAACTAACCACTGACAAAACCATCCTCCTTGTAAGTCCCTGGTTCTTGATTTTCACTTGAAATCCTAGCATATCCTCCTGAACTTTCCACTTAACACCCAAGGCCCTCTCCATGACACGTTCACCCTTTATTTCTTCCAGGTTGAAGTCCTTAGCTGCTTCACCTCTATTTTGGAGGGGTACATCATCCAAGACATCACTGCGATTAGAAATCCACTTTTTCAAGTTGAATCCTCCTTTGTTACACATTTCAGTCACTTCATGAACTTGTTCTGCAGCTTCTACAACAGTGGGTAGAGACGAGAGGCAGTCATTCACATAGAAGTTGTTTCTAATGGCATCAGAAACGCTTGAACTGAAATCTGCTCCATTATCCTTCGCTGTCTGGAGCAGTGCAGCATTAGCATAGCCTTGGGAGGATGTGGCTCCAAACATGTGAACTTTCATGTGACACTTGAAAGGCTCTTGGGTGCAGTCTCCGTGTGGCCACCACAGGAAACGTTGGTAATTCCAGTGCCTCTTCATCACTCAAACTTGATAAAACATGCTTACTATGTCTCCCATAACTGCACATTGGTCTTGCCTAAACTTCATTAGAACTCCAAGTAAACTATTTGTCAGGTCAGGCCCAGAGAGTAATTGCTGATTCAAACTGACACCATTGTTCACAAATGCACAATTGAAGACAACTGTTATCTTCTTCTTTTGAGGGTGGAAGACTCCATGATGTGGAATATACCATGCAGAACCATCGTCTGGATCTTCCTCTTCACTTGGAATGGTTTCTGCATAACGTTTCTGGAAAAGATTTTCCATAAAATCGGTATATTCTTTCTTGAACTTGTCATCAGCTTCCTATCTTTTCTTCAATCTCAGCAGGAGGCGATGAGCTGAACTATAGTTGTTTGGAAAAACAACTTCCGAATTCCTGAATGGTAAGGCAATACTGTAATGTCCATCCTGAAGTGTTATTGAGGCATCAATTTTCTTCATGAAAAGTTTGTCCTCTTGAGAGTACTGTCTTTCATCATCAATTAATCTCTCGGGGAAGTCTGCGTTGAAAGAATGTCTCACCATTCGATTCAGTTCATTTAAGCTTTCAAATTCTTGTAGTGCAGTCACTTCTGTTCTGTTCATCTTGAGCCTCACTACAGGAAGGATTACCTGGACGAGTGAGATTCCAAACAGCCCATCCAAGTCTTGTCTTAGTAGCATGTGGTGTATGCTGTGGTCCCACGATCACCTCCATGGGAGAATATGCATCTGCAACGTTGTTGCCGATCAAAAGTTCAATGTCTGCATTTATTTCAGGAATATATAAATCCTTTAGGTGAGACCATTTCGCAGTATCAGCAGCAGTTGGTATATGTACCTTGCTAATTGGTAACCTGTCCACAGCAAACACTTTGTGTAAGTCAACATTATTGTCCATAGCGAGATTTAACACCTGTAGACCAGTTAATGCACACGTGTTAATAGTACGAGGTTCTCCCATACTTGTAATGTTCACTTTCATGTGCTTACCAGAGACTCCCAATTTCATCATTAGAGATTCAGTGCAGAAGGTGGAGCTACTACCAGGATCCAAAAATGCGTATGTCTCTACACAGTGAGAACTGTTTCTCATCTTCACTTTGACTGGGACAATTACCATTGTGCACACTTCAGATTTCTGACCGACCCCTGTATCCAACGAAAAGCAGGAGTTTGATGCACTTGTAACACTTTGAATGAACTGTTGACTTTGGGATGGAGGATGCTCCATATGGAAGTAAGTGTTGTGACGACCTTGACACACAGAACAAACAATATTACCACGGCAGTCCTTGCTCACGTGACCAGGCTCTAAACATCTGAAACACAACCTTTTATCCATAACCAATGCCCACTTACTAGTATAAGACAATGCAGCAAATTTCTCACAGTTTATCACACGATGACCTTTACCTTCAGAATAGAAACACTTCCCTTTGATTGGTCCCTCAGTATCAGTCTTGGCTGATGACCGAACATCTGTAGCAAAGCTTATCTTTGACAAAGTACCCTTACCCTTCCCTTGCTTGGGTGGGGGTCTAGGCTGCAAACTATTCAGAGCTTCCTTCCCAAATACCGGGTCATTGGCTTTTCTAGTTTCCTTTCTCATGAAATAAACTACATCCTTAAAACCTAGTGACCTACCAGAATCACTCAATGTCTCAGCACGAGACCTGAACCTTTCTTGGTATGTGTAAGGTATCTTAGCAATGATCCTTCTAATGTTATCAATGTTGTTCAAAACACCAGAAGTACCCACTGCATTGTTGCATTCTTTCAAAAACACAGCATAATCCTCTAAACCCTTGGGACAATCTGCTCTGATAACAGGCCAATTAAGTGCTTTGCTTATAAAGGAGTTAACTACAACATTTTCATCACCATACTTTTCCTCCAGATCACGCATGGCAGCTTGAAACCCTTTATGGGCGTCTAAACACACATTGCTGCTCACAATTTTCTTGGCTTCACCGGATGTAAGTTGCTCTAAATAAGTCATACATTCATCAGGATCAGATGTATTGTTCAGAACTTTGGTCTTGAATTGTCTAATAAACTTGTGATAGTCCATGGGATTGCCATTAAAGACACTAATCTCTGGCACAGGTTTACTTAAGTGATGTACAACAGAAGTAAGAATGTCAGAAACATTATCACTCTTTCTATTGTCCGGGTAACGCATGGGCCTGTCCTCACCAGCAACCCGAGATTCACCAAGGGTAAGTATGTCACTTCTTGTATCTATCTCCTTGCGCCGAATGGAACTGTTCTTCCTAATTCCTCCATGCAAGGCAGCAGTATTATCAACTGCCTGAGAATCATAAATGAAGTCGAGAACGACCTTCTTCACATCTTGTGTCTGGGTTTCAAATCCCTGGGAATCATTGAGAAAATCTTCAAGTAGTTTCTTCTTTGAATCATGTGTCATTAGAGGACTGCTATCAGCAACTTTATCATCAATATCCTCTTTAATGTCTGTTACATTTGTAGCACGAGAAGAAGAACAAAACTCCTTTTCGAAATCAGCAAGTGCTTTACTTCTTGCATCAGAAATAGCCATTTCTGTATGCAGGGCTAACCTTTCTAACATACTAACTTACCTTGCATGTCGCCACGAGACCTTCGAAACATGTGATGGTTGGTTGGTTTTATAGTTTTAGGGCGACGTGGGCCAATAAGAGGCCTATTTGCGCCCAACACATTGACTTGATTTAATAAACAATCATACGTAATTTAATTGCCAAAAGGAATCGTTTAGCTAAGATAAAAGAAACGACAACACTATTAATTTGGATAGATGTATACATATATGGAATAACCTCTGCTTCGTGTTACGGATTAAAAACCTTAAGTAATCACTTCCATTTCTGAAACATGAAAAACTCATTCAATACAAAAGCAGCAGGTTCAGATGATAGAGTGTCAAAATGATTTACAACCACAGAACTAAATCTGTCTAAGCCATTCGAGAGCCTGTCTAGATTACATCATATTTTCCAGATGACGAGACAAAATCTAAAACTGCCCGTTGCACAGACCCATACATGATATTGGGGCCCTAAACTGTTACTAATGAGAATACATCATCAACCTCAAGTACAGCACTTCTGAGATTTTGTCTTATGTTGTTATGCCGAGGGCATGTAATTAGATAATGTTAGATGTTTTCAGGCGTCTCCAAATTGCAATGGCCACATTTAGAAGAGACCGTCTTATCTATAATACTCCTGTAGGCATTTAGCCAACAGTGTCCAAGTCTTAGACGTGAAAGAATAACCTCATCACGCCTTTTACGACGACGAATTTTATGACCAGATTTTAGTGATGGTCTAAGTTTGTACATATGTCGGCCGGTAGTACCTGTATCCCACAACTGTTGCCAACTCCTTGTAACAGATTTCGATAAAACATTTTCATAATCTTTAGGGATTGGTTGAAATTTAAATAAATCAACTTCAGGAAACTGTAACCCGGATTTGGCCAAATTATCTGCAATCTCATTTCCATGTATTCCAACATGTGCAGGGACCCACACATTGTCGCATGCAATGTACTTCATTTTTAAAGATGTATCCAACTTTAATATCTCATGCACAATGTCATCTCTAGATCCATTTGCACCAGCTTCTATAGCTTTGATTGCTGTCATAGAATCTGTAAAGATAATTGCTTCATGGTCATGTTCATCTACCCATCTCAATGCTTGCAAAATTGACAAAAGTTCAGCTGCAAAAACAGAAAGATACTCAGGGAATCTGAACACCTTAGCGATCGATAAATTGGGTATCCAAAAAGCCCCAGCAGTACGATTATTGGATGGTTCTTTCGATGCATCAGTGTATATGTGTGTGAAATTAGAATAATTTTCAGACAGAAAGTCTTGAGTTATCACTTTTATTATGTTTTGGTCCATTCTCTTATACACGATTGAATTGAGTTCAGAATTCAATCCAGGCTTCAGCAGAACCCACGGAGGTGTGACAGGCGGAGCAGAAGGATCAACTGGGTTACAGTTGTAAATACCATGTTGATCAGCTAATCTCTAAATATTCAAGCCAAAGGGCAATTTGCCATGAGTCCAGTTACACATGACATATTCCACACAGTCATTAACAATCTCAGTGACTGCATGGTGTTTGTTCTTGGTTTTCATTTTCAAGAAATATTTCAAAGATACCTGTTGTCTTCGAAGGTGAAGGGGCATTTCTGAACTCTCAACTTGAAGAGCTGAGGTTGGAGTTGTACAATATGCACCAGTGCATATTCTCAAAGCTTTAGATTGAATTCTATCAAGCTTATTAAGATGACATTTAGCCGCCGACATATACACCTGACAACCATAGTCAAGTCTTGACAAGATAAGGGCCTTGTACAGCAATAACATAGTTGACTTATCAGCGCCCCACTTTGTTTTTGAAATACACTTTAATAGATTGATGATCTTGTTACATGTGTTATACAAATGTGTGATGTGATGAGACCATGTTAATCTTTGATCAAAATACACACCAAGAAATTTGAACACTGACACCATTTAAAGTTTATGGTGTCCAAGAGATAAACTGATATCATGAGGGATCTTACGTCTTGTGATCATCATTGCCACTGATTTTGATTTTGAAATCTTAAACCCCCATTTTGAACACCATGTACTGACTTTACTTAAAGGTCACATGCAACGTAAAACACAACTTTGCAGATTCTGATACCTTTCGGTATGGACTTACTGAAACAAAGCGTCATAAATGCTAATTCAACTTATAAAGTTGAAAAATAACGCGATGAAAAAAAACGCGCGAAATCGGAGTTCAAACGTTTCACTAATTTTCCCCAGACTTTTCTGGGGAATACGGGTTTCAACAGCTGGGCTGCGCTCATAGCACGTGCGCAGTGAAATAGGTTCGCGCAACTTGGAAGCAGGCTGTCTGGTGAATACTCGGTGAAGGCTTTGGTGTGAGCTATTTTCCTAATGTTTTGTTGATATCTCACTGGCGCGAGCTTTTTGTATGTTATGACAGTAAATAGACTGTTTATATAATTTCATTTGTCTATTTCACCACACGTTCTTCTTACCGCGTCACTTTCTCAGTTCGATACTTAAATGCAATGTCATTATTTAGAGTTGACACAATTTCTAACTGTGATATAGATATGTCGCTGTCACAGACAAAACTCAATGTCTTGTTTTATTGACACCTGTGTGTCTGCCTGCCTGTCTGCTAATGACAATATTCATTACACAACTGCGATCACTGACCACATGCAATTTGAACTTAACACCAATCAGGCTATACACCATAAACAAAACGCATTGATTTATGGCCCGAGTTTGGTCTCTGTCACATTATGTAATTACACAGACAGGCAGGTGTGATACTTGAACACATGACATGTTATGATGTCTGTTGATTGCAAAATGTTATACACCAAAAATGAGCATGTATTTACAAAACCCAACTTTCTATATATACATACAATGAGCCGTGAAGGCGGCATCTGCTAATGAACCAGCCGTTACACTTGAGTGCACACCCACCCGCTCTCACTGGGTTCGGTATCCCGGCTGCTTCTTTTTGATGGAGGTAAACCCAAGTACAAAATATTGCACTTTTGATTTGCGATTATACGCTTATAATTTTGTTTATTTGTTTTTTCATAATCAGCAATGCATATTATATGTCATGAAGAAGTGATAATTGTGTTTTAATTATGTTTGATTTTTTGGTTGCATGTGACCTTTAAGCAGTTTTGTATAGATTCTATGACAAACTAAAAATTACCAAAGCGTCTCCAAAACGATCCGTCATCAGCAAACTGTGCTGCATTTATGTTTAGAGGCAGGTCCTCGAAAATGTCATTGATCATAATCTTAAATAGAACTGGACTTATTACACTTCCTTGTGGGGTACCATTTTCAGTCATATACACGCCTGACAGTTCTTGACATATGCGAACTTGAATGGTTCTTTCGGACAAAAATGACCATATCCACTTGAACATGTTGCCTCTAATTCCAAGTTTCCACAATTTAGAAAGCAAACAATTTCTCCAAATCATGTCATAAGCCTTTTCGATATCAAGGAATACACACAACATGTATTCCTGGTTGCATAAAGCTTTCTGTGCTTCAGTTTCCAGACGAACATGCTGATCTATACATGAACGCCCCTTTCTGAATCCTGACTGGATGTGAGTAAGAAGCTCATTTCGTTCAAGATAATAGTTCAGGCGGTTAGTAACTATTCTCTCCATGATTTTACATAAATTAGAAGTGAGAGCAATCGGTCTATATCGAAACATGTGACAAAGCACCTGTAATTATCTGCCCTTTAATCACCTGTAATTATCTGCCCTTTAGTTTTAAATGCTCTGCGCCCAAATGAGATCACTTGAAAAAATAAATCAAACCAGATCCTTACAGTCTTACTATCTCCTACGTAGGACTTAATATCTCCTACGTAGGACTTAATATCTCCTACGTAGAACTTAGTATCTCCTACGTAGGACATAGTATCTCCTACGTAGGACTTACTATCTCCTACGTAGGACTAAGCATCTCCTACGTATAACATAGTATCTCCTACGTAGGACTTAATATCTCTTTACGTAGGAGATACTAAGTCCTACGTAGGACTTAGTATCTCCTACGTAGGACATAGTAATTCCTACGTAGGACTTACTATGTCCTACGTAGGACTAAGTATCTCCTACGTAGGACATAGTATCTCCTACGTAGGACTTAATATCTCCTACGTAGGACTTAGCATCTCCTACGTAGGACTTAGCATCTCCTACGTAGGACTTAGTATCTCCTACGTAGGACTTAATATCTCCTACGTAGGACTTAGTATCTCCTACGTCGGACTTACTATCTCCTTCGTAGGACTTAGTATCTCCCACGTAGGACATAGTATCTCCTACGTAGGACTTAGTATCTCCTACTTAGGACATAGTATCTCCTACGTAGTACTTAATATTTCCTGTAGGAGATGATCGATATACGTTTATATAGATTAATCTGAAACGGTCGACTTAAATCCCCAGACACGCACACAATCTCCTGTTTCACTGTCTCAGTCACTGCGAGAGTCTACAGTCATTCGTTTCATTCACTATTAGAGTCTACAGTTATGTGTTTTATTTACTGTTAGAGTATACTATCTTGTGTTTCAATTTACTGTTAGAGTCTACTGTTTCCTTCACTATTAGAGTCATGTGTTCAACTAATTGTTGCACATTACTGTGTTGGACTGACTGTTATACTTTACTGCCTTGCGTTCAGTTTACTATTACGCGTTGCAGTTAGTTCACTGTTATATGTTGCACTTTGTTAGACTTTACTATTATGCGTTGGATATTTCAGAGGTCGTTGCACATGAATCATAATCTGCGTGTACAGACGTGTCTTAGACTATCGGTGGCAATCTATGTGTACGTATCCCCTTATATTTATACAAATATAATGACAATTCATTGCCTTTTTGAATTTCGTATTGTTTAACGCCGCACTCAACACCTGTCCACTCCAGTCAAGTCAACCTGTAAACAATTAAGAAAAAAGCCGCAAACGAGCGTTGCATCCGATCCAACCTAGCCCCATCAAGACAAGCAACAACTTGCGGAGGTCGTGTTATAACCCGAGTTTCATATCACAGGAGATACTAAGTCCTACGTAGGAGATAGTAAGTCCTACGTAGGAGATATTGAGTCCTACGAAGGAGATACTAAGTCCTACGTAGGAGATAGTGACCCCAAAATGTGTTTTTCACCGTGGCCCTACTGCGCTTCCGTGGTTTGTTTTAGATAAAAATATTCACATTGATAAAAATGCTGATTTTGATGTAAAATTTTGATTTCATAGTAATGTTGACTTAGTACAAATGTTAACGTAAATCGATGTAGAATTTAATTTAAGAAATAGTTTGACCTTGAATTTGGTGAGAAGCCTGATATAATTTGTTTTGAAAGTATGGCTAACTAAGTACATGGGGAGTCTTGGGGAGAGAAGTGAGCTAAGGTTCACTACTAGTCAATCTGAATGTTGTATTAAATAGCTATTTTGATAACAAATGAAAACATTTTAAGTTTAACCATCTGTCAGTGGTAAAAAATGTTAGGACTGCAAAAACGAACGAAACATACAACTTTATGGATGACAACTTCTGGTTTATTGCGTTAAGCGTCGTTTCGATGTAGATTCTTACATCGTTATCAAGCTAAAAGTGAATACACCCAAATGGTGAGGAGCATATATACATGGAATG